CATAAATTCTAGTGCATCTTTCCTGTTTTGTTTCAAACATTATTTACCATATATATCTCAATAGAGAAGGGTTTATGGTATCACTTGATTCACATTTAATGACAAAATATAACAAACCATCACGTCTGTAATTAATTCCAGACAAATTGAATAACAATAATAATTGTATTGACTTGTACCAAAATGTAAGTTGTGGGAAACTGATTATTATTACCAATCACAGAAATAAATGAATATAATTTTCATCACACTTATAAATAACATGATGAAAATAGATTTGTGAAACAAAGGCAAGTTTGTTTTTATTAGCATTTACATGTACAAGACTTGCAAAGAAAAAAAAAATCGCTGCTGTAATTCTTAACACTTCAAAATATAACACTCAGTATGAACATGGAGCTGCATAGTATACATCTTTTTTTTTTTTTCCTACTGAAACCAGGCTGAAACAGTATTGTAAGAAAAACCTAGGTTTCCCTAGGTCTGTCTTCTTTGTTCTCTGTTGTTTGTTTTCAGTGGGGGCGTTAATGGGCAGTTAATCCAGAGGTTAGGTTTAAACCTACTACTAATTTGCATATTGTAGGTCTAGTAGGTCTGAATAGGGCAGGTCGGGTTTACCCAGGTTAACCCAGGTTTGACCCAGGTGTTTGAATATGAGATCACCCCTTAGTAATTATATCTCAAAAGTGAATATTCGTGGTGTATTTTAAATCTAACCGGAGCGGAAGTGGGATTTTGTTACTACTCTAATATATCCAAGCATATTTTACTATAAGGTAGTAATTACTAAAGTTAGTGCAGTTAAAGGCCCAATTCACTTGCCCCGGGCAAGTGTGAATTGGAGGTGTGGCTATTCTAATGCATGGTGTTAATCACTTGCATAGCCTATGACGCATCCTGTTTCAGCGGTCCAACATCACGTGACTTTGATTGACAGTAGTAATTATTCAAGATTTGTCGCGCATCTCTTTCCCCGGTTCATGTTTTTTACTTTTATTCGCCAAAATCTCAGCTCGTACACAATTTATTGTCATAAATATTACACACAGTCACTGCTGTGATATTCATAGTCACATGCATCCACTTTGGCACGACATAATCGACGTGTAAGTTCGAGAAAACACGTTTTTACCGGAGCTTGGCTGGAGTTGTTTACTACAGCGTGACAAGCAAGGAAATAATCCCTATTGTTTAGGAGCGTATTTATAGTATACCTGGGCCTTTAACTGACTGTGAAAAGATACAGGCCCGATCTAGCTGTCATGTTAAACATTTAATCTGTTTATAACCTTTTCACCACCCTTTTTTCATCACTAATTCACAAAATAGTCACGTTTTTATAGTCTGCACTTTTCTACAGAAAATTGGGTCAAAAAGAGTCAATAAACTAAAAATTGACTCAAATTTTGTCTGTTGGCTCTAGAATTAGGGTTCATTTCCAAGGGATGAAAATTTTCCTGCGTATTTCCGAGACCCAGGGATCGATTATCTGAAACGTCTAAATCCGAAGAGAAAATTTTAGGGGTGGGAGGGGTTTAAATACAAATCTTGTTCATTCACCAAAAGTAAACATGCTGGCAGGTCTTTGATGTCGGCTGCAAGAGGCCTGTATCAGTGTATGGTCAAAGGGAGACAACTCGTGGTGTCTTCAATGCGGAATGTTCGCGACTCTTTTCATCAGTGCAATCGTAAAATCCGAAGTGGTTTTGAAGTGTTCGAAGTAATATGTAACGATTAGCATGATTGGCTGGGTTTGCTCTGACGGGCCAATCAGTGAAGAGCTTTCATTATTTTTTTTCACCAACGGCGCTATTTTATCGTTTTAATTGTTAGCTGTGCGGGATTGTTGTTTACAAGTTTCATGCAGCGATATTGGTGAAATTGGTTACAAAAGACAACAAGTCAGCTGTGCAAGAGATCGATAAAGACATTAGAAACAAATTTCGTTGGGCATGGCTTGACAAGAAAGTGACTTTGACCGTGAGAATCGGAAAGAAAGATGAAGTGGTAACTGAAAAATTTAGTGAGTTCATCGACAAGTGCGAGGTCCTGGGAAAGGCGCAGTGTCTGTATTGTAACGATTTGAGCAACTTACAGTTCTTGGACCCCGGCTACTTTACTTTCAGGTGAAAATTTAAATTCTCATTCTCATCCCTGATTTCCAGAAATATTAAAGAATACAAGAAAAAAGTGCTTAAAAAAGTTGGGCAAGAAAGTCTGGTGGTGAGACTAGGTTTCATGTGTTCACATGATGTTACAAGTTACAGAAAGTTTTTATAGCAGAGTTGGGTAATTATGGCTAAAGATGCACAACTTGGGAGTGACAAGCATTTTAGAGGGGGTGGTTATTTACCCTATTATTGACTGATTTATGATGATTATCGACTCTATTGATTATGAAGTTCTGAAGATGGCCACAGCTGTAGAAATCATTTGATATATTGATTCGAAAATAAAATAAAAGTTTCAGCTACATCTTGTAAAATCTGTACTGAAATGTACTGTTGTTTTAAAACATGGCTTTGTTTTTTACCTTGCCTTGCTAGGTATAAGTGTTACAATGCCTGTAGTTGTCATCGGCGGTGTTGTTAACAATTCTTGAGGCCACTGGTAGCATAGTGGTTGTCGCATCAAACTCATGATCGGTAGACCCAAGTTCAAATCTTACTTTAGGCTGAACATCAAAAGGGTTGACCCCTACCCTGGGTGAGTGTGCCACAGACTCAATGGGAAGGCCAATTCCACTGGCTGAGATTCATTCACTAACGAATGCAATATTGGGGGAACCTTGGTTAAGGTCCGCAGGTGCTTGTGTTCGACCGAACCTGGTTTACGCCAGGATAGCGCATTAAAATTTGATAGGGAGATGGCGGTATATAATAATAATTTATTACACTACAAATCATAAAAAATACAGTAGCTAAACTTTATGATAAAATTAAAATTAAAAGATGTTAAAAGCTTAATTGGAAAAAAAAATTTAATGATTCTCCCAATGTAGAGGTGATAGCTATCATATACCTG